TATAGTCTACTACATGTTCTACTCTATGTCTACTATATAGTCTACTATATGTTCTACTCTATGTCTACTATATAGTCTACTACATGTTCTACTCTATGTCTACTATATAGTCTACTATATGTTCTACTCTATGTCTACTATATAGTCTACTACATGTTCTACTTTATGTCTACTATATAGTCTACTACCTGTTCTACTCTATGTCTACTATATAGTTTACTATATGTTCTACTCTGTCTACTATATAGTCTACTATATGTTCTACTCTATGTCTACTATATAGTCTACTACATGTTCTTCTCTATGTCTACTATATAGTCTACTATATGTTCTTCTCTATGTCTACTATATAGTCTACTATATGTTCTACTCTATGTCTACTATATAGTCTACTACATGTTCTACTCTATGTCTACTATATGTTCATCTCTATGTCTACTATATAGTCTACTACATGTTCTACTCTATGTCTACTATATGTTCATCTCTATGTCTACTATATGTCTACCTTTTCTTTTTTCTTTTCGAAATAAATGGTAATTTTTTGTGTAAATGTCGTATTATTTTACTTATGTATTTAACAGATATTTTATTTGGAATGTCGATCCCCGAATATATTTTTCGAATTTTACTGGTCCGTGATTACCAAAAATCTTGGAACCACTACTGTGGAGTACAGAGCACCAACATTACATCACTTCTGTTATAAACTAACCAAAGTGTCTCGAACGATTCCTATAGTTTGGTTTGGTTTGTTTTGAATTTCACGCAAAGTTACACGAGGGCTATCTTCGCTAGCCGTCCCTAATTTAGCAGTGTAAGACTAGAGGGAAGACAGCTAGTCATCATCACATTATAACGCCCCCACGGCTGAAAGGGCGAGCATGTTTGGTGGGACGGGGATTCGAACCCACGACCCGCAGATTAAACCTATTGATCTTCAACAAAGGCTGACGTAAACTTGGAGAGTACTGAATATAATTTTTCCTTTCGAAAAATATTCGTAATCAACCAATCTTACTATCAGTTTCCTTCAAAATGGCGGCATCGTTTATTTTAGATTGTTCGTGTGTTTTTCACACACACACACACAAAACCTGAACTTGTTTCTAATGGTTTTCAGTCATTCTCCTGTTAACATCCTCCTGGTGGTACATAGAAAAGTTACGATGCATTAAGAAAGAAAACCCTGACTTGTTCACGTGGAAAATAAGTCAGGAGACTTAAACGAATGCAAATCCTAAACAATAAGAGTTTTATCTTATAATTATCTTTCTTTTCACTAGCATTTTGTGTGGTCATATCGAACAATCGAAATCTTAGTAACTTACAAATAACATGCACGAAGTGGATTTACAAAATGAAAACACAACTGTAATCTTTTGTTGTACAACTACAACAAAAACGTTTGGAAACGATATGATCACAATATCATGCGCGCCGGAGCAACTTTAACTTGCACTTCAAAAATTGTTTCTAGATAAACAGGTATACTTATAATAGTATGTATGAATCAGTATATGAATACATAGTAAATTACATGTATAATCTACAAGTGAACATGCTTGTAGCTATGGTGAGTATAAGTGCCAGTGAGAACCTATTTTTATGAAAACTTGCTTGCAAATCATTAATACTTTCAATAAATTATAGTAAAATTAGCAAATCATTAATACTTTC